GATGACATAATTGTTACTGGTGACTGGGAGGATGAAATTCAGAGGTTGAAGTTCTTTCTTGCCACTCAGTTTGAAATGAAGGATCTAGGACCTACAAGATACTTCCTTGGAATTGAAGTTGCCCAATCAAAGAAGGGTATCTTCATCTCTCAAAGGAAATATGTCCTAGATTTACTTCAAGACACAGGGAAGATGGGGGTGAAGTCAGTTGACTCTCCCATTGACCCCAACCATAAATTAGGTGACAGTCGAGGTGAACATCTCAAGGATGTGAAACAGTTTCAGAGGCTTGTAGGGAGGTTGTTATACCTTTCTATGACTCGCCCAGACATTGCATATGCTGTTGGTGTCCTCAGTCAGTTCATGCATGCTTCTAGGTCCTCTCATCTTGAAGCAGCAGAGAGAATCCTTCGATATCTAAAGAAGTATCCGGGTGCTGGTTTGTTATTTCAAAAGCACGGACATTTAAAAGTTGAGGTTTATACAAATGCAGATTGGGCTGGATCCCAAAGTGACAGAAAGTCTWCCAGTGGCTACTGCACATTTATAGGAGGGAACCTTGTTACATGGAGGAGTAAAAAGCAAAATGTGGTGGCTAGATCCAGTGCTGAAGCTGAATATCGTGCAATGGCCCACAGGGTAGCTGAAGGCATGTGGATAAAGAATTTGTTGAGTGAGTTGGGCTTCTTAGTGGACAAACCTATGTCTCTATTCAGTGATAACAAAGCAGCTATAAACATTGCTGCCAATCCGGTGCTACAAGATAGAACAAAACACATTGAAGTTGACAAGCATTTTATCAGAGAGAAAGTCATCACAGGCGAAGTGTGTACTCCCTATGTTAATTCTGAGAATCAACTTGCAGACATCTTTACAAAGGGTCTAAACCATTCCAGACATCATGATCTGTGTGACAAGTTGGGYATGATTGATATCTATGCTCCAACTTGAGGGGGAGTGTTAACAATTGTTTATGTTCTCAGGTTTAGTACCGCAAGGGTACTATTGTAATTTTCTCTTGTCTTTATGTTGTACGACTGGGCCAGTATAAATAATAATACTAACTCTCGCCCACTGAGTTAAGGAG